TTTCACGCCCACCCATCCATGGACGACATCGTGGCCATGTGGGCGTGGCCAGCATCCATCCTCTGATTTTGAGCTCAACTTCTAGTCACTGTTCAGGGACAATGGGATCGATCAATGTTTTTGCCTGCGAATCGCACCTATTCGTTTCCTTCCTGTGGCTCGACACAGAATCCTGTACAGAATATAAATGGATCTCTGGGAGATTACGGTAACTGCTCTACGGTCAGTTGTTTCACCCAAGTGCCGAGCTACGGACGTTATATCGAGAGAGTTACAGATTCGTCAGCAACTTCGAGATTGGTTACTCAAAGATTTATGGCCATATTGCTCGGATCAAAACTGTACAGGAGAGGTAAGTTTACGGTACAGCACTTCCCAATGGGGGGGGGGCGTAATTGAAGCAAAGGGATCAAATTCTCAGAGGGAGCAAGGGAGAAGTAGGTTACAAAGAAGAAGTTTTCCCTACAGAATTCTACAAAAATTTTCGGAGAATTCGTATATTTGCTGTTTCAACAACAATTTTTATGACCCTCTCCGCCGGCCTCCCTTCTAGGAATTTCGGGATTATTGCAGCTTTTGGAAATGGTCTCCAAAGTGTATCATGATTGTTATCACTCTCCACGATCCTATTCCCTTTGTGTCCGAGCGACCAGAGGTGCGACGAGGTGGCCGGTCCACTACAAACTTCACAGCAAAAGTGACGACGGCCTGCAAATGTAAGTAGGTTTTAGCCAGCGCGAAATGATATTAGCCGATTGCAGTTGGGCTCTATTAATTATCACTCATTATAAAGCTCTCAAGTGTCCCCGCTATCAGGTATCGCGAGTAATCGCTAGGAAGTCCCCTTATGTGTTTCTTTTCGTCCCGTTAGGGCGGCACGCATAGTCGGTCGGACGACAGCAACGATCGTAACTGTCGCACAGCATTGGATGCGTATCGATCGTCGGACTTGCCTGAGTATTCGACGATTAGATGCAGTTAGACAGTCAGACAGTTGCGATCGTTGCTGTCGGACGACCGACTATGCGTGCGCCCTCACTTGCGCGGTATTTCGTATGGTGGAGACTAGCTAGCGGCGGGTACAGATGCAGCATGGCGCGGTAGAGAGGACAGGCGGTGCGATTGAGGGGGGGGGGGGGTAGGAGGGATTCGGCCATGTTCCAGGCATACTTCCCATTTGACTTTTGACCCTGGTGGGTATGTGTCGTGTATTACGGACTGATTAAGAGGTTGCAGAACTCGATGTTTAGCTATGGATTGACTCGAACTGCCCGTCCAGTGCTGAGCCGCGGTTGAGACGGTCTATATGGGACGCCTTCTACAATTTTCGTTTCTATGTGAACGCAGCTAAAGCCAGCCATGGAGTACCACATTTTGAGCACTGGCAGCGGAGTGGTCAACAGAATCATTCGTTCGTCGCCGCGCCACCGTGCTCGGCCACTTGCGCGACGTCGCAACGCGGCCAATTTCTCGATGGGTGCGGCATTTTCGAATTATAACTGATAGGGGCAGCAAATTTCTCGCAGCACAATACACTATTCTGGAGGCTATTTTCGTCAAGGCACTGTTCCTTAGGTGCTAACTTAGTTGGGGGGGGGGGCACGCGGCGGCGCGGCAGTCTGCTCACCTGGGCTCTCTCGAGCGAGACAGTGTAAACTCGAACATTCCAGCTTTTCACGCATGTCAAGTGACTGCCCCCACCCCCCACCCCCTAGGCTGGCTACACTCCCCCTGGCCCACGGATTTCCGAACATGCCAGGCGAGCAGACTGCCGCCGCCGCGTGCCCCCCCCCCAACTAAGTTAGCACCGTTCCTACCTAGCTAAAGACAGAATCATTTGTTATTTTCCGATTTTAAAACTCCAGAAAGAAAAAAAAGGAGAAAGAAGGAAAAAGAGGATCGCATTTAGGCTCAATGTGGCCCATGGAGGAGGGCGACAGTCGTCCAGGGTCAACCGTCACGTTGGACCGATTTCGAAAATTTCATGACCCCCCTTTTCCACCCTAAATACGACCCCCCACCCCTCGTTGGACTTTGTCCAACGCACGGTTGACTCTGCAGTCGTCGCCGCGGCATGTTCGTGCCTTTTAAGCGAAATAGTTAAACTTGAACGTTCCAGCTTTTCACATGTCAAGTGACTCGCCTCACCCCCCCCCCACTCCCTAAACTGGCTGAAGAGCGCACAGTATCCACGACAACTCGTCCGTATCACACAGCTGCTAGACTTCAGCAATTGATCGATGATAATTTGGGCCCTCAAAAATCTCGCTGAGTCCCAAAGATCTAAAAAAGAGTGGGTAGCTTCGTTGGCCTGATGCCAAGGCAAGATGAACGGAACAGAATGTGTTGCGCGGACGAGTTGTTCGGCCACAGCAGATGGGATCGCGCCATGTGACGCACACCCCTTGGCGATCCTTCAGCATTCCAATGACGTACCCAGAATCTCGTCCACCGCAGTCGCGGCGTCGTGGCCACGCCCACTAGTGCGGCGATGTAGACAGTTCTGTTGGCACACATCCTAGCGACAGCTGTCCAAGTGGTAGCAAGTCGTCTCGATGATCTGTCAAAATTCTTTTCAGTAGCACTCGAACGTTGCTGAAAGACACTATTAATGGAACTCTACAAAACCAGTTCCCGAATGCAAGCCTATCAATCAGCGATAGTGTGATATGCGATAAGAAGTTTCCACACCTGAGCACTGCTCATGGAAATGCCAGTTGTGGTATGACATTGTTCAATTGACTAAATCTGTCCTAATCTCATATTCTTATCACGTTTAGCCGATTGTCCACCTGGTCAATACTACAGCAGTGGCGCCTGTGCTAGTTGTCCGGTGGACACCTACAGAACAAGAGATGATCCGCTGGAAGAGTGTAAAGCGTGCCCAGAAAACAAAACCACTGGTGAACGCACAGGGCAGAAAGACCCTAGCGCTTGTTATGGTACGTCAGGGAGATGTCCCCAAGAGGCCCGTCGCGCGGCGAAGGAAGAGACGCAGACGCGGCAAAGGACGAGTCGCAGCGCATACTGTAGCGGTTAGGCGTCAAATAGAGTGTACCATACTACGTCTCACACGCGCTGCGACTCGTCCTTTGCCGCATCTGCGTCTCTTCCTTCGCCGCGCGACGGGCCTCTTGGGGGACACCCACGTCAGGGTAACCTAGACATAGTATATAAATGTTCAAAAATGTTAAGATTTATGCGATGCTGGTGAATACTACGACGACTGGACGAAGAAGTGCCAGCAGTGCCCACTTGGAACGTATCAAGAAAAACGTGGAGGAGCAGCCTGTATGCCGTGTCCTTCCGATACTTCTACCAGCATTACTGTAGGTTTAATACAGACTAGCTGTTTAGGCTGAAGGCAGTCAAAGAATCTTTGAAATGGGTTCAACGAAGCTGGTTCTCAAAGTAGAATAAATTGGCAAAATAATAAAATCAATAACTATTTCTGTGAGAAACAAGAACAGAAACTATGTCGAAATTACTGAAAAAGAGCTCTGTCCAATGAGAAGTGGACGAATCCACGAGACCGAAAGTCTAAGAGTTACTAAGCGTATAGAAGGCGACTGAAGCAGAGTTAGAGACGAGGAAGCATAGCGGACAGGTGAGGCGCAGACATTGGCGTATGCGCACATAGCGAGCGTGCCTAATTGCTCGGTGAAAAAAATTCCCGTTTCAGCCGTCGTCAGTTATCTCTGCCTTGCCACAAAAATTCTTATATTTGCGTCACCACAACATAGAAACGAGTGTTACGCGTAATAAGCAAGCGAACAATCTCAGAATAGCAAATGGCTTTTTTGGATAGCGGGGAACTCCAGTGTGTCCGCCGCTTCCATTTATACAAGCATTTCGCGCGCGATCGTTCTCGTGATCTCTGTTGGAGATCACGGGGCAGTGCAGACGAATTGACGTCACGTGGCGCATGGGTCTACCCATGTCATAAGACTGGAATATTCTTACAAGCCACAAGGGGATAGACTATGTACCTCGGTGCTATCTTAGTTGGGGGGGGGGGACACGCGGCGGCGCGGCGCTCTGTTCGTCTGCTCCTCTAAGGCTTAGTCCAAGGGGCAGTTACTATTTCGTCGCCACGTGGCAGTTTCGAAATACGCGCCATCGGCGGACTAAGCCTTGGAGGAGCAGACGAAACAGAGCGCCGCCGCCGCGTGGTCCCCCCCCTAACTAAGTTAGCACCTGGTACCTCTATCATTGCTACGATTAACTACCTTATTCAGAATATGTAATTTACTCACGCCTATCTTTACTCATTATTCGTGAAATTGAGCGCGAGTAGGCTGTAGTAGGCAACTTCGATGCTCATTTTATGGGAGTGGAGAACGCGGACTTGGCAAAGGAAAAAATGTACCCGCATACTTCTGGAATTGAGTCCCTGTTGCTAAAAATAATAGTGATCTAGGACTATTGCAAGTTTATTCATTGAATGAAAAGTAGAAGATCACGAATAGGCTTGTGATGAATTTATGGATATTGATTGATTGTTAAGGGAGCAAAGAACGCCTACTGATTGTTCCGTCAGATGTGGTGCCGGTGAGGAATTCGTGGCTGGCTCGGTGAACTGTGTTCCATGCGCTCAAGGAACCTACTGGGTGAGCTAGTGGACTCTGATCTCCTCACATCGAGCAGTACTTGATTTTTCGTGATATTTTTAAACAACTAATTAAGAAATTTTAGTGAATACGACTGGTGCCTGAATTGCCCATCAAGGCCCTGACTACCTTCATACTGGTCGAAGACACGACTGTAGGCATTTTTGGAGCATCCTGGCCCAAAGAATTTGGTGGCAGAGACGCTGCGCCGGTCTTGGAATGGCGGAAAAGACCTTCTGCTGATTTGCTAGATCATGAACAGTCGCCCCGCCCCTACCGCTTTTCACATATTGCGGACACCAGCATGCGCGCAGTACATTTGAACCAATCAAAGCGACACTTTTCTCAAGTCTTATGATTTGGAGTTGAAACTCGAATTCGCATGTGATCATGTGCCACGCAAACGTACGAAAAGAGAAGGCGGTTCTTCTTACGCGAGCGGTTGCGGCACGGTCAGTTCGGATTAGTAAGCTTTTTTCCGCAAAAACGACATCTTTTGATAATGGGTCAGCATCGGAAGCATTGATAAACATGGTCTAACAACAAAGGAAGCTAATCGCTTCCGAAAGCCACGTGACAATAAATCTGACCGCGTCGCAACAGCACGCACCAGGGAGTAACGCCTTCCTCACGCATTCATTTGGGTATATTTACCCTTCAAGTGAGCTGACAGCATGTTTTGGAATTGCTGATATCAATTATGACAGATACCATCGATATCTGTTTTTTCCCAGTAATAATTGATTTTAGTGATTGTGAAGTTGTCGACTGCCCACCAGACCACCATGTGAACGTCGCTCGATCTGGTGCGATCGATGCTAATCGTACAGCATTTGATGAAATTTGTATAAGATGCGAAACGGGGACTTATCAGGTGATATGATTGATCGATTCGTTGAATGACAGCGTAGCGCAGTAGGCGGAGGTGCGGTTGGTTGACTATCTTGTGGGTAGGTTCGAACCCCTTGAGGGGCAGCTGAGCCACTTATCTAATCTCAGTTAGCAAGCTGTTTCGATAGATTTCAGGTGTCTGATCAGCCTGAATAACCTATGTAGTTCAAACTTAAAGGCAGTGTCCGGTATCAAAGTTATGTGTTGCTGCGCTAGCAGGTGAGAGTGGAGATGTGAAGTGGGACACCAGTAACGAAAAAACGAAAAAAAAGGGCGAAAATGAGGCCCCGTCTCTAGTAGCCTTGAGGGGAAATTGCATCCAATTCGGGGAGAGATCAGTGGTGTTGGGCGGGGCCAATGCTACCTGCTAGGGCTGCAGCAGTTGGGCTTTATTGAACCCGTCTGCGTATCACTGCATTATTCTCAAGTAAGGCTTAATTTTTGGCTAGAAATCTCGAATCTTGCCGTTAATGATCGCAATTTCGGTGTGAAGACGAAAGCATGGCGCATTCTTAAAATTTCAGGATGAACGCAATCAGACCACCTGCAAACGCTGCACACCAACCTCAAATTGTTCTCTAGTCAACGAATGTAGCCCACTCCTATCGGACACCTGCCCTGACGGCAGCAAATGCGAACTTCTGGAGACACGAATATACTCCTGCTCGACAGTTGGGGTACGTTCCGAGAAGCTCCGCCCCCGAGTAGGCCCCGCCCACTCATGTCGATAACATTTCATTCAGGTGAAACCGACATCAAACAAGAACGTATGGGTACTTTGGATAGCGATGCCGCTGGTTGCAGTTTCTATTGCCGTCGCTTTGATAGTTACCGCATGGATGTGCCGACAATCGTAAGAAGAAATTTTTATTGATTTTATTGATCGAACCGTGTGAGAAGAAGGTTTCAATTTCAGAATATACATGATGTGCTGTAGGAAACCGGATTTCAAGTTTCACGAATCGACTGATTACTACCGAAGTCCAACGCGACCTCCCATGTTGCGTAGAAGTATGGACGTCAACGGCTATCGAAATTATCCACCTCGCCGACAAGTTCGCTTCCTTTTCATAAACTTTCTACATACTATCGATTACCGAATCAATTAAGTCAATTTCAGGATGTGGTCCGTCCTTCGCAAACATTCAGTACTACCACAGTAGTGCCAAGAAGAATATCAACTGAAGATGCAAGCGGGTGGGTTCACCGATTGTGTGGGAATAGCCACCAAATCAATACCTATCTTTTACACGTCAACAGTGTTCAACCTATGGGGTGTTTGATTGTTCAGATCCAGATTTCGCAACCGTCACCTACACCCGCGCCAATCATCACCTCCAGGGCCGAACTGGATTTTGTTGGAAGAGCAAGCCAGAAGAAGAGCGTTGGTTACGGTAGGTTCATAGTAATCTGCCTGTAAGAAATACGGCAAACCATCGAATTTCAGAACATTCTCCCTCTGTCGAGTCGAACTCTTGGCAGCCAAATAGTCACCGCCGGTGATTTCCACGGTGTTTATCCATTCTCGAGTCGAAGTCTGGGCAGCCAAATAGTCACCACGGGCTATTCGCCGAGTCACCAGGTCCCTCCATTTCGCTCAGCTGGTTCGCCCCCGAGTCTCTACACTCCCGAGTGGCCCCACGCCGCTCTCAGATCTGCCAGAGGACCCGTCAAGTAGCTATTCGCTGCATTGGAGTGAATCAACAGAGGAAATCGACGTTTACGGAGACGATGATGACGTGAGTTTCGCAAAGGTTGAGGATAAGGTTATCGAGGAGATGTACATAAAAATGTTACGAGAAATGCTGCACGGGATGCATAACAGTGCTTCACCATCATATTCCACAAATAGGTCGCATACTGTAGCTGTGGCCTACCCTGATGTTACCCCTGAAACCTTATCACTTATTTAGCTAGCAAGGCAGGAGCAATGTCTGGCTTATAGGTTCCCAGGAGTGTCGACAGAATGGTGCCGACACGCCCACTCTTCTGTGATTGGCTCCACGCACGAATCAACCAGTCGCAATCGTGTGGACGCGTTGGCCGCAGTGGGTCGCACCAGGGTGAATATCGGTCGAGGAAATCCTCGACAGGGGGGTCGTACCTGTTGGGCTGGTCCATGGGGGGTCGTACTCTTGGGGTCAGTAACAGAAGTGGTATCATGGTGCAGATAGGTAATAGGGTATAGCGCAGCAGAAAATGAAAACATCCGAAAAAAACATGATATTAAATTTTCTTTGCAGGTTCAGTCGCTCCATTCCTCCACCTTCATGAGAAGGGCGTATTTGAAGGCAGTACAAAGAATGAAAGTGCATCCCCGCAAAGAAGAGTGCCACATGTGCGCACGCGCTGCAAAGGCACCTCCTCTGCCTATCGCTCGCTCCTTCTCCCTTAATACCTCGCTGAGAATGACGCTGTTGTTAGGGACCCTGTCGGAAAAACGACAACCGTGAAGAAAAAGCGCTGGGCAAATGAAGTTGTTTTTTAGGTTACAGGAATAGCACAACACACTATGTCTACTACAATACAGTTTCGTTCGAAGGTCCCCATCATATAACACCTTTCAATCGATTCTGCAACTGTGAGTGGAGGAGGGATGCATGGCTTATACCAATACCAAATCGGATGATGACGATTGCTCCTATTCTTATTGTTTGCGTTCAAAGATATTGTTCTAGACACATTCCGAGTGTTGCCAACGAGTCACACTTGCAATGGTGAATGAGGGAGCGGATTTCCAGGTGGCCGGATCCGACCTCGATAGATCCTCGACGCAATTATCTCTTCAACCAAAAAGCTGTAGAAGAAAACTAAACAGACCATCAGGAAGCGCAAACCTTCCGCTTTCCAAAACTATCTTCCCTTTTTCAGGATCTTACAATATAAGAGATATATTGCTCTTGAAGTGGCAAAAACTCGCGTGAAAATTTGGGCCTCCTCGACATTTACTCGACGAAATTTGACAGACCCTATCTTTCTGCAAGGAAGGCTTCCAGAGCAATTTCGATGCTTGTTGGAAACGCGAAATCCAGCTCTATCTAACTCTACCTCAAGCTGCTTCAAAGGTTGTGAAATGGAGGAATGCAACCTTTTCATCGAGGGTGTAGATTCGGACGTTTTTTTTTTGAAATTTCGGCAAATCTGACCCAGTGACAATCGCGCCGCAGCTGCCGTTGAATCGGCCTTTGATACACTCGGCTGTTTTGATATACTCAAGCAAGAATCAAGATTGAATCGCAACCCCGTGTCTTCAGGATTTCTGTGCGTTTCTGAACGAACCTCGCCTTGAGGTCACACAAAGTTAATGCCTCTTTCCTCGAGTCGATATTTCAGTATGTACACAAAAGTATGCAGCGATGGAAGACGTGCATAGATGACAAGATGAAGCGTCCTTAGCATTATTTTGCAGAATTTTTTTTTTGATTTGTTTTGCAGGATTTATTTTAATTGAATTAATTTGCTCTGTTAGAGGGGGTCGTGCCCAGGATCTCGATTTCGGGGGGGGGGTCGTACCTCTGCGACCACGTACTCGACACGATTTTCACCCTGGTCACACTGCCTCGGCCCGTTAACCCCTGGTATTACTCCTGTCGTTCCATCGGAGAATGCTTTGTTTGCCAGTCCCTACCGCTGTCTCATCTTAAAGAGTCCACTTTATTTTCGCAGCTGTTTCAAGGGTCATAGCCATTTTCGTCAGGAGACTGGCCGAGAAATCCAAATTTCAGGAAGGACCTACTTCGGCTAGCGATCACCAGCTCAACGAAGCGTTGCTCAACAAATGACCGCCGACTTTCAAAATACGTGTACTTTTTTAAAATTATTTTTGTTTTGTGTTACTTGTGATGTGCTCAATTGGCTGAGTAAATGTTATAAACCTTAAACAAAAACATGTTATAAACCTTGAACAAAAGTTAAACATTGAAGAAACACCCAATCTCTTTAAATTATCTGGACAACCCAACACTTTCTTTGCCCCAATCGTTGCTTGTTTTCCAAGGGCAGCGCTTCCAATCAGGGTCAACCGTCACGTTCGAACATTTTCGGGATTTTTGCGACCCCCTAGCTCTCGAGGGGGTCCAGTTGCGACCCCCTGTTTTTGTTAATAAGAGTGCTAGACATGAATCCGTTGCGCCAGAAAGCGCTGCGCCGCCGCCAGAAAAAGCGCCTGCGGTGCGGCGCGGCAGAAAAGCCGGCTTTCTTGCGGCGCCAGCCTTGAGCGCGGCCAGGTATCACCCGGGCGCTGGAAGAACGGGACGCGGCAAAAATTTTAGAGGGGAATAACTTTCTTGGGACGTATTTTTTGACTTGTTGAGGTAGATTTTGATTGTGCCTGAGGTGCGCTTCCAGAAAACTACAAGGATTGCCTAACTCTCCGGAAAGTACTTCTGTTAGAAGTGGAAAACCCAAAATTCTAAGAAGGCGCACCTTCAACTTTGAAGGCCCATAATATCTTTCGTATGCGACCTTTTGGAAAGCTGTAAAAGTTTCAGAAACTTCAAATATTTCTCTATCAAAACAGTAAAAAGTTTAGTGATTGTCCCCTTTTTTTCAAAAAATTGTCCCGTTCGAACATTTTTCGTGCAAAAGCGAGTTTTTGGGCTTTCAGCGACCATAACTCACTTCATTTTCATTTCTGTGATGCACTTTTTTCATGGGTGAAAGTACAGGATTTGCTCTTTCTAACAAGCCCCAAACCGTTTTTCAAAATTCATTTTCCGAGAAAATCACACGTTCGAACATTTTGTTCCCATAGGTTTTTGAGCAGCACATGCGAGTTTTTGAGCTTTCAGCAATAATAACTTCCTTCAAAGAAGCTTGTTGGGGAGGGCGAAGACATTTTTGAAGACTACGAGATTTACGCTTTACTTCATGTATATTACAGTTCTCTAGAAGAAGCGTCCCAAAAAATTAGGTCTTTGAAGAACTTTATTTTCAGCCCCGAGAAGTCAAACCTTTCATAAGGATGCATTCAACACTTCTTTACTGCGTAGGAAAACACCGTAATTTGCCTAAAACTGCCTCTCTGTGCATAATAAATCAAATCTAATGCGGTCTGCACAAGCAAGTCTTGCCCTCGGATACGCCACGCACGCGCCTGTGGCTGGCAGTCCTCGAAATTGCGACCCCCTACGACAAAAAATGCGACCCCAGTTCGAACGGACGGTTGACCCTACTCCCAATCCTCCTACTGTGACTTACCAGGTCACCCTTAACTCTAAATAGTTCAGAGCCATTTTGACTATTTTGATGATGGGGAGTCTTTGAAGGGGTTCCAGAGGTCCTCCACGTATGCCTTACGACATTTCGGATGTGGGCCTTCAACAGATCACCATAAAGTCATGGCCACATGGAAACTAAGAGTTAAGGCTAGACTACTACCCGTCTGCTTTTTTCCTTTTTGAAATGCTGGAATTCAGAACCATTCAAAAGGCTTCGTAACCATCGGAAGGAAGTGATGGAGCCTCTGCGTCTTGTATGTGGTGCCGTGCCCTCGTTAAAAGCTTGAAGAGTAGCAGAAGGCTATAGACGTATCATTTTAAAAACTTCTAACATTCTTGGATGCCATTTTTTGGAATCGAGAATATTCAAGTGTTACAAGGCTTTCTGTCATGCCGAACAGAGGTGAGAAAGTATCTGGAAAAGCACACAATTTGTGTTTTATCGGGAACTTTAATCGGGAGCTTTCTAAACGGATAAAGAAAGCAGAGATGCTGTGATAGCTTGCACTTGTGATAGCTCGCACACATCACTACACAACGCTGAACTGCCAAGCTTCACGGTTGACAGAAGTCCTGAGACGTTCATACTGCGCAAAATATATAACATTCAAAATTGATTTCCAAAAAACTGATCTCGGATTGGTATCGGAATATGGGTACACCAGTAATTTTGCCCCACCTTTTACCAATCCAAAACTTTCAGCCCATTGCATACAACGGCGTTTTTTTTAGCTGGTCGGCGCGCGTGGCTAGCGATTTACACTCGCCGCCGCAGCTGCGCGACAAATTCTAGAAGTTCTTCCAATTAAGATCTATAGTCTTGATATGATAAGTGCTTAAGAAAATGTTGAGCACTTGCTTTGGAAAACCGTGCAGCATACAGTCAAACTCACCTGTGACAACGGCGTTGTCTGGACTCTGGCTTTGCATTTCAAGTTCTGAACGAGTTCCATACTGCGATGTCTCCCGAACGTAGTGTTGGAATTTTGTAGCTTTGTAATGCTAAAAATGTGAAAAATAACGACATCGTCTCAGTTACGAAACACACCAGACCGAGGCTCCATGGAATAGCTCACCGGCGGCGCGGACGCGAGCGCGTGTGGGTGACGTCACTTTGACGTCACAGTGGCGGCGAGGGATTGAGCAAGAGTGGTGCCAATACTTTGCAACAGTATAGGACACTATCG